GCCTCACCTGCTATCCTCTTCCGCCTCACCTGCTCCGTCTCATCTCTTCCCGCCTCATCTGCTATCCTCTTCCGCCTCACCTTCCTCTTCCGCCTCCTATCCTCTCCTCCTCCTGCTCATCTGCTATCTTCTTCCCTCTTCCTCACCTGCTATCCTCTTCCGCCTCACCTGCTATCCTCTTCCGCCTCACCTGCTATCCTCTTCCGCCTCTCCTCCTCCTTTCCGCCTCACCTGCTATCCTCTTCCGTCTCACCTGCTCTTCCTCTTCTGCCTCACTGCTATCCTCTTCCGCCTCACCTGCTATCCTCTTCCGCCTCTCCTGCATCTATCCTCTTCCGCCTCACCTGCTGCCCTCTTCCGCCTCACCTGCTATCCTCTTCCGCCTCACCTGCTATCCTCTTCCCTTCACCTGCTATCCTCTTCCGCCTCTCACCTGCTATCCTCTTCCCTCCTCATCTGCTATCCTCTTCCGCCTCACCTGCTCCTCTTCCGCCTCACCTGCTATCCTCTTCCGCCTCACCTGCTATCCTCTTCCTCCTCCTCCTCTTCCTCCTCTTCCTCATCTGCTATCCTCTTCCGCCTCACCTGCTATCCTCTTCCGCCTCACCTGCTATCCTCTTCCGCCTCACCTGCTATCCTCTTCCGCCTCACCTGCTATCCTCTTCCGCCTCATCTGCTATCCTCTTCCGCCTCATCTGCTATCCTCTTCCCCTCTCATCCTTCTATCCTATCCTCTTCCTCACCTGCTATCCTCTTCCGCCTCATCCTGCTATCCTCTTCCTCATCTGCTCCTCTGCTATCCTCTTCCGCCTCACCTGCTATCCTCTTCCGCCTCACCTGCTATCCTCTTCCGCCTCACCTGCTATCCTCTTCCGCCTCACCTGCTATCCTCTTCCGTCTTCCGCCTCACCTGCTATCCTCTTCCGCCTCACCTGCTATCCTCTTCCGCCTCATCCTGCTATCCTCTTCCGCCTCACCTGCTCCTCTTCCGCCTCACCTGCTATCCTCTTCCGCCTCTCTATCTGCTATCCTCTTCCGCCTCACCTGCTATCCTCTTCCGCCTCTCTTCCTGCTATCCTCTTCCGCCTCACCTGCTATCCTCTTCCTCCTCACCTGCTATCCTCTTCCGCCTCACCTGCTATCCTCTTCCGCCTCACCTGCTATCCTCTCCTCTCATCCTCTAACTCCTCTTCTTCTGCTATCCTCTTCCGCCTCACCTGCTATCCTCTTCCGCCTCACCTGCTATCCTCTTCCGCCTCACCCTGCTATCCTCTTCCGCCTCACCTGCTATCCTCTTCCGCCTCACCTGCTATCCTCTTCCGCCTCACCTGCTATCCTCTTCCGCCTCACCTGCTATCCTCTTCCGCCTCACCGGCTATCCTCTTCCGCCTCTCAACTGCTATCCTCTTCCGCCTCACCTGCTATCCTCTTCCGCCTCACCTGATATCCTCTTCCGCCTCACCTGATATCCTCTTCCGCTACACCTGTTATCCTCTTCCGCCTCACCTGCTATCCTCTTCCGCTACACCTGCTATTCTCTTTCGCCTCAACTTCTATCCTCTTCCGCCTCACCTGCTATCCTCTTCCGCCTCACCTGATATCCTCTTCCGCCTCACCTGATATCCTCTTCCGCCTCACCTGTTATCCTCTTCCGCCTCATCCTGCCTCTCCTCTTCTGCTATCTCCTTCTATCCTCCTCTTCCGCCTCATCTGCTCATCCTCTTCCGCCTCACCTGCTATCCTCTTCCGCCTCACCTGCTATCCTCTTCCTGCTCCTCTCTGCTATCCTGCTATCCTCTTCTGCTATCCTCTTCCGCCTCACCTCTTCCTCTTCCTCATCTATCCTCTTCCTCCTCACCTGCTATCCTCTTCCGCCTCACCTGCTATCCTCTTCCGGCTCACCTGCTATCCTCTTCCTCCTCACCTGCTATCCTCTTCCTCCTCACCTGCTATCCTCTTCCGCCTCATCTGCTATCCTCTTCCGGCTCACCTGCTATCCTCATCCTCCTCACCTGCTATCCTCTTCCGCCTCATCTGCTATCCTCTTCCGGCTCACCTGCTATCCTCTTCCTCCTCACCTGCTATCCTCTTCCGCCTCATCTGCTATCCTCTTCCGCCTCACCTGCTATCCTCTTCCGCCTCACCTGCTATCCTCTTCCCTTCATCTCTTCCCGCCTCACCTCCTCTTCTGCCTCACCTGCTATCCTCTTCCGCCTCACCTGCTATCCTCTTCCGCCTCACCTGCTATCCTCTTCCGCCTCACCTGCTATCCTTCCGTCTTCCCCTCTCCTGCTATCCTCTTCCCTCACCTGCTATCCTCTTCCGCCTCACCTGCTATCCTCTTCCGCCTCATCTGCTATCCTCTTCCGCCTCACCTGCTATCCTCTTCCGCCTCACCTGCTATCCTCTTCCGCCTCACCTGCTATCCTCTTCCGCCTCACCTGCTATCCTCTTCCGCCTCACCTGCTATCCTCTTCCCTCTCATCTGCTATCCTCTTCCGCCTCACCTGCTATCCTCTTCTGCTCCTCACCTCCTCTTCTATCCCTCTTCCGCCTCACCTGCTATCCTCTTCCTCATCTCATCCTTCTATCCTCTTCCCTCATCTCTCCTCTTCCGCCTCTTCTGCTATCCTCTTCCGCTCATCTGCTATCCTCTTCCTCTTCTGCTATCCTCTTCCGCCTCCTGCTATCCTCTTTCGCCTCACCTGCTATCCTCTTCCGCCTCATCTGCTATCCTCTTCCGCCTCACCTGCTATCCTCTTCCGCCTCACCTGCTATCCTCTTCCGCCTCACCTGCTATCCTCTTCCGCCTCACCTGCTATCCTCTTCCCTCACCTCCCTCTTCACCTCCTCTTCCGCCTCACCTGCTATCCTCTTCCGCCTCATCCTGCTATCCTCTTCCCCTCACCTGCTATCCTCTTCCTCACTCTCCTCTTCCGCCTCTTCCCTCTTCCGCCTCACCTGCTATCCTCTTCCGCCTCACCTGCTATCCTCTTCCGCCTCACCTGCTATCCTCTTCCGCCTCACCTGCTATCCTCTTCCGCCTCACCTGCTATCCTCTTCCGCCTCACCTGCTATCCTCTTCCGCCTCACCTGCTATCCTCTTCCGCCTCACCTGCTATCCTCTTCCGCCTCACCTGCTATCCTCTTCCGCCTCACCTGCTATCCTCTTCCCCTCTCACCTGCTCTTCCCTCTTCCTCTTCCGCCTCACCTGCTATCCTCTTCCCCCTCACCTGCTATCCTCTTCTTCACCTCTCTCCTCTTCCCCTCTTTCTATCCTCTTCTCCTCACTCTTCCTCTTCCGCCTCACCTGCTATCCTCTTCCGCCTCATCTGCTATCCTCTTCCGCCTCCTCTATCCTCTTCCACTATCCTCTTCCGCCTCACCTGCTATCCTCTTCCCTCCTCACCTGCTATCCTCTTCCGCCTCACCTGCTATCCTCTTCCGTCCTCACCTGCTATCCTCTTCCGCCTCACCTGCTATCCTCTTCCGCCTCACTGCTATCCTCTTCTTCCGCCTCACCTGCTATCCTCTTCCGCCTCACCTGCTATCCTCTTCCGCCTCACCTGCTATCCTCTTCCGCCTCTCACCTGCTATCCTCTTCCGCCTCACCTGCTATCCTCTTCCGCCTCACCTGCTATCCTCTTCCGCCTCACCTGCTATCCTCTTCCGCCTCACCTGCTATCCTCTTCCCTCACCTCACCTCTTCCGCCTCCTCTTCCCTCTTCCTCTCCTGCTATCCTCTTCCGCCTCACCTGCTATCCTCTTCCGCCTCACCTGCTCTCTCCGCCTCATCTGCTATCTTCCGCCTCTCCCTTCCGTCTCACCTGCTATCCTCTTCCGCCTCACCTGCTATCCTCTTCCCTCACCTCCTCTTCCCTGCTATCCTCTTCCGCCTCACCTGCTATCCTCTTCCGCCTCACCTGCTCCCTCTTCCGCCTCACCTGCTCTTCCTCTTCCTCCTCTTCCTGCTATCCTCTTCCGCCTCACCTGCTATCCTCTTCCCGCCTCACCTGCTATCCTCTTCCGCCTCTCTATCCTTCTATCCTCTCTTCCTCTTCCGCCTCATCCTGCTATCCTCTTCCGCCTCACCTGCTATCCTCTTCCGCCTCACCTGCTATCCTCTTCCGCCTCACCTGCTATCCTCTTCCGCCTCACCTGCTATCCTCTTCCGCACCTCTTCCTCCTCTTCCCTCTTCCGCCTCACCTGCTATCCTCTTCCGCCTCACCTGCTATCCTCTTCCGCCTCACCTGCTATCCTCTTCCTCTTCTGCTATCCTCCTCTTCTGCTATCCTCTTCTCACCTGCTATCCTCTTCCGCCTCACCTGCTATCCTCTTCCGCCTCTCCCTGCTATCCTCTTCCGCCTCACCTGCTATCCTCTTCCTCCTCACCTGCTATCCTCTTCTCTATCCTCTTCCTCTGCTATCTCTAACCTCTCTTTATCCTCCTCTGCTATCCTCTTCCGCCTCACCTGCTATCCTCTTACGTCTCACCTGCTATCCTCTTCCGCCTCATCTGCTATCCTCTAACCTCTCACCTGCTATCCTCTTCCGCCTCACCTGCTATCCTCTTCCGCCTCACCTGCTATCCTCTTCCGTCTCACCTGCTATCCTCTTCCCTCCTCTCATCCTGCTATCCTCTTCCGCCTCACCTGCTATCCTCTTCCCGCCTCACTATCCTCTTCCGTCCTCTTCCTCCTCCTGCTATCCTCTTCCGCCTCACCTGCTATCCTCTTCCCGCCTCACCTGCTATCCTCTTCCGTCTCACCTGCTATCCTCTTCCGCCTCTCCTGCCTCTTCCTCTTCCTATCCTCTTCTGCTATCCTCTTCCTCTTCCACATCACCTGCTATCCTCTTCCACATCACCTGCTATCCTCTTCCGCCTCTCCTGCTATCCTCTTCCACCTCACCTGCTATCCTCTTCCGCCTCTCCTGCTATCCTCTTCCACATCCCCTGCTATCCTCTTCCGCCTCTCCTGCTATCCTCTTCCACATCACATGCTATCCTTTTCCGCCTCTCCTGCTATCCTCTTCCACCTCACCTGCTATCCTCTTCCCTCTTCTGCTATCTCCGCCTCACCTGCTATCCTCTTCCGCCTCCTGCTATCCTCTTCCTCTTCCTCTTCTGCTCATCTCTATCCTCTTCCTCACCTGCTATCCTCTTCCGCCTCACCTGCTATCCTCTTCCCGCCTCACCTGCTATCCTCTTCCGCCTCACCTGCTATCCTCTTCTGCTTCACCTGCTATCCTCTTCCGCCTCACCTGCTATCCTCTTCCTGCCTCACCTGCTATCCTCTTCCTCTCATCCTCCTTCTTCCCTCACCCTGCTATCCTCTTCCGCCTCACCTGCTATCCTCTTCCGCCTCATCTGCTATCCTCTTCCGCCTCACCTGCTATCCTCTTCACCTGCTATCCTCTTCCGCCTCTCTATCCTCTTCCGCCTCACCTGCTATCCTCTTCCGCCTCACCTGCTATCCTCTTCCGTCTCACCTGCTATCCTCTTCCGCCTCACCTGCTATCCTCTTCCGCCTCTCCTGCTTCCGCCTCACCTGCTATCCTCTTCCGCCTCACCTGCTATCCTCTTCCGCCTCACCTGCTATCCTCTTCCGCCTCACCTGCTATCCTCTTCCGCCTCTTCCTATCCTCTTCCCCTCATCTGCTATCCTCTTCCGCCTCACCTGCTATCCTCTTCCCGCCTCACCTGCTCCTCTTCCGCCTCTTCTGCTATCCTCTTCCGTCGCCTCACCTGCTATCCTCTTCTGCCTCACCTGCTATCCTCTTCCTCCTCATCTGCTATCCTCTTCCTCACCTGCTATCCTCTTCTTCCTCACCTGCTATCCTCTTCCGCCTCACCTGCTATCCTCTTCCTCTTCCCTGCTATCCTCTTCCGCCTCTTCTGCTATCCTCTTCCGCCTCACCTGCTATCCTCTTCCGCCTCACCTGCTATCCTCTTCGCCTCACCTGCTATCCTCTTCGGCCTCACCTGCTATCCTCTTACGTCTCACCTGCTATCCTCTTCCGTCTCACCTGCTATCCTCTTCCGCCTCACCTGCTATCCTCTTCCGCCTCACCTGCTATCTTCTAACCTCTCACCTGCTATCCTCTTCCGCCTCACCTGCTATCTTCTAACCTCTCACCTGCTATCCTCTTCCGCCTCACCTGCTATCCTCTTCCGCCTCACCTGCTATCCTCTTCCCTCTCACCTGCTATCCTCTTCCGCCTCATCTGCTATCCTCTTCCGCCTCACCTGCTATCTTCTAACCTCTCACCTGCTATCCTCTTCCGCCTCCTGCTATCCTCTTCCGCCTCACCTGCTATCCTCTTCCGTCTCCTCTTCCGCTCACCTGCTATCCTCTTCCCCTTCACCTGCTATCCTCTTCCGCCTCATCTATCCTCTTCCGCCTCACCTGCTATCCTCTTCCTGCCTCACCTGCTATCCTCTTCCCGTCTCACCTGCTATCCTCTTCAAATCCTCACCTGCTATCTTCTTCTATCCTCTCCCTGCTCCTCTTCCGCCTCACCTGCTATCCTCTTCCGCCTCACCTGCTATCCTCTTCCGCCTCACCTGCTGCCTCCTGCTTTCCTCTTCCGCCTCACCTGCTATCCTCTTCCGCCTCACCTGCTATCCTCTTCCCGCCTCACCTGCTATCCTCTTCCCTCTCACCTGCTATCCTCTTCCGCCCTCACCTGCCTCTCTTCCGCCTCACCTGCTATCCTCTTCCGCCTCACCTGCTATCCTCTTCCGCCTCACCTGCTATCCTCTTCCATCACCTGCTATCCTCTTCCGCCTCACCTGCTATCCTCTTCCCTCACCTGCTATCCTCTTCACCTCACCTGCTATCCTCTTCCGTTCTCACCTGCTATCCTCTTCCGCCTCACCTGCTATCCTCTTCCGCCTCACCTGCTATCCTCTTCCGCCTCACCTGCTATCCTCTTCCGCCTCACCTGCTCCTCTTCTCTTCCCTGCTATCCTTCCCACCTCCTGCTATCCTCTTCCGCCTCACCTGCTATCCTCATCCTCCTCACCTGCTATCCCCTTCCTCCTCACCTGCTATCCTCTTCCCCTCCACCTGCTATCCTTCCGCCTCACCTGCTATCCTCTTCCGTCTCTCCTGCTATCCTCTTCCGCTCTCCCTGCTATCCTCTTCTGCCTCACCTCTAACTATCCTCTTCCCTCACCTGCTATCCTCTTCCTCTTCCTCACCTGCTATCCTCTTCCGTCTCTCCTGCTATCCTCTTCCACATCAACTACTATCCTCTTCCGTCTCTCCTGCTATCCTCTTCCTGCCTCTTCCTGCTATCCTCTTCCGCCTCACCTGCTATCCTCTTCCCGCCTCACCTGCTATCCTCTCCGCCTCACCTGCTATCTCTTCCCTACCTCACCTGCTCCCTCTTCCTGCTATCCTCTTCCACCTCTCCTGCTATCCTCTTCCACCTCTCCTGCTATCCTCTTCCACATCTCACCTGCTATCCTCTTCCACCTCACCTGCTATCCTCTTCCGCCTCACCTGCTATCCTCTTCCGCCTCACCTGCTATCCTCTTCCGCCTCACCTGCTATCCTCTTCCGCCTCACCTGCTATCCTCTTCCGCCTCACCTGCTATCCTCTTCCGCCTCACCTGCTATCCTCTTCCGCCTCACCTGCTATCCTCTTCCGCCTCTCCTGCTATCCTCTTCCGCCTCTCCTGCTATCCTTTTCCGCCTCTCCTGCTATCCTCTTCCACCTCACCTGCTATCCTCTTCCGCCTCTCCTGCTATCCTCTTCCGCCTCTCCTGCTATCCTCTTCCGCCTCCTATCTGCTATCCTCTTCCCCTGCCTCACCTGCAATCCTCTTCCGCCTCACATGCTATCCTCTTCCGCCTCACCTGCTATCCTCTTCCGCCTCACCTGCTATCCTCTTCCGCCTCACCTGCTATCCTCTTCCTCACCTGCTCACCTCCTCTTCCTCTCCTCACCTGCTATCCTCTTCCCTCACCTGCTCACTCTTCCGCCTCACCTCTTCCTTCCTGCTATCCTCTTCCACCTCCTCACCTGCTATCCTCTTCCTCCTCACCTGCTATCCTCTTCCTCCTCACCTGCTATCCTCTTCCGCCTCACCTGCTATCCTCTTCCTCCTCACCTGCTATCCTCTTCCGCCTCACCTGCTATCCTCTTCCGCCTCACCTGCTATCCTCTTCCTCCTCACCTGCTATCCTCTTCCTCCTCACCTGCTATCCTCTTCCGCCTCACCTGCTATCCTCTTCCGCCTCACCTGCTATCCTCTTCCACCTCACCTGCTATCCTCTTCCGCCTCACCTGCTATCCTCTTCCACCTCACCTGCTATCCTCTTCCGCCTCACCTGCTATCCTCTTCCGCCTCACCTGCTATCCTCTTCCGCCTCACCTGCTATCCTCTCTTCTATCCTCTTCCGCTCACCTGCTATCCTCTTCCGCCTCACCTGCTATCCTCTTCCGCCTCACCTGCCTCTCCTCTTCCGCCTCACCTCACTGCTATCCTCTTCCGCCTCACCTGCTATCCTCTTCCGCCTCACCTGCTCTCCTCTTCCGCCTCACCTGCTATCCTCTTCCGCCTCACCTGCTATCCTCTTCCGCCTCACCTGCTATCCTCTTCCGCCTCACCTGCTATCCTCTTCCGCCTCACCTGCTATCCTCTTCCGCCTCACCTGCTATCCTCTTCCGCCTCATCTGCTCCTCACCTGCTATCTTCTTCCGCCTCACCTGCTATCCTCTTCCTCTCACCTGCTATCCTCTTCTTCATCCTGCTATCCTCTTCCGCCTCCCTCTTCCTCTTCTCACCTGCTATCCTCTTCCGCCTCACCTGCTATCCTCTTCCGTCTTCCCTGCTATCCTCTTCCTCTTCCTCCTGCACCTGCTATCCTCTCCTCTTCCTCACCTGCTATCCTCTTCCGCCTCACCTGCTATCCTCTTCCACCTCACCTGCTATCCTCCTCCTCCTCCTCTGCTGCTATCCTCTTCCGCCTCACCTGCTATCCTCTTCCACCTGCTATCCTCTTCCACCTAAATCCTCTTCCCCTCACCTGCTATCCTCTTTCCGCCTCACCTGCTATCCTCTTCCTCTCACCTGCTATCCCTCTTCCGCCTCACCTGCTATCCTCTTCCGCCTCACCTGCTATCCTCTTCCGCCTCACCTGCTATCCTCTTCCGCCTCACCTGCTATCCTCTTCCGCCTCACCTGCTGCTGCTCCTCCTCTTCCCTGCCTCACCTGCTATCCTCTTCCGCCTCATCACCTGCTATCCTCTTCCGCCTCACCTGCTATCCTCTTCCGCCTCACCTGCTATCCTCTTCCGCCTCACCTGCTATCCTCTTCCGCCTCACCTGCTATCCTCTTCCGCCTCACCTGCTATCCTCTTCCACCTCACCTGCTATCCTCTTCCCTCACCTGCACCTTCTATCCTCTTCCTCTCACCTGCTATCCTCTTCCGCCTCACCTGCTATCCTTTTCCATCTCATCTGCTATCCTCTTCCGCCTCTCCTGCTATCCTCTTCCGCCTCACCTGCTATCCTCTTCCTCCTGCTATCCTCTTCCGCCTCACCTGCTATCCTCTTCCGTCTCACCTGCTATCCTCTTCCGCCTCACCTGCTATCCTCTTCCGCCTCACCTGCTATCCTCTTCCGCCTCACCTGCTATCCTCTTCCTCCGCTGCTATCTCTTATCCTCTTCCTCTTCCGCCTCTCCTGCTATCCTCTTCCGCCTCTCCTGCTATCCTCTTCCACATCACATGCTATCCTCTTCCGCCTCTCCTGCTATCCTCTTCTTCCCTCATCTGCTATCCTCTTCCGCCTCACCTGCTATCCTCTTCCCAGCACCTGCTATCCTCTTCCGCCTCACCTGCTATCCTCTTCCAAATGCCTCACCTGCTATCCTCTTCCGCCTCACCTGCTATCCTCTTCCTGCCTCACCTCCGCCTCACCTGCTATCTTCCGCTCTGCTTCCTCTTCTCACCTGCTATCCTCTTCCCGCCTCACCTGCTATCCTCTTCCGCCTCACCCTGCTATCCTCTTCCGCATCACCTGCTATCCTCTTCCGCCTCTCCTGCTATCCTCTTCCACATCACATGCTATCCTCTTCCACATCACCTGCTATCCTCTTCCCTCTCCCTTCCGCTCACCTCTTTCCTCTTCCGCCTCACCTGCTATCCTCTTCCGCCTCACCTGCTATCCTCTTCCGCCTCACCTGCTATCCTCTTCCCGCCTCACCTGCTATCCTCTTCCGCCTCACCTGCTATCCTCTTCCGCCTCACCTGCTATCCTCTTCCGCCTCACCTGCTATCCTCTTCCACCTCACCTGCTATCCTCTTCCACCTCACCTGCTATCCTCTTCCGCCTCACCTGCTATCCTCTTCCGCCTCACCTGCTATCCTCTTCCGCCTCACCTGCTATCCTCTTCCGCCTCACCTGCTATCCTCTTCCGCCTCACCTGCTATCCTCTTCCCTCCTCCTATCCTCTTCCGCCTCACCTGCTATCCTCTTCCTCTCACCTGCTATCCTCTTCCGTTCCTCTGCTATCCTCTTCCGCCTCACCTGCTATCCTCTTCCTTCCTCTTCCGTCTCACCTGCTATCCTCTTCCGCCTCACCTGCTATCCTCTTCCGCCTCACCTGCTATCCTCTTCCTGCCTCACCTGCTATCCTCTTCCGCCTCACCTGCTATCCTCTTCCGCCTCACCTGCTATCCTCTTCCGCCTCACCTGCTATCCCTCTCCTCCCGCCTCACCTGCTATCCTCTTCCCATCTCCTGCTATCCTCTTCCTTCTCCTCACCTGCTATCCTCTTCTTCCGCCTCACCTGCTATCCTCTTCCGCCTCACCTGCTATCCTCTTCCGTCTCACCTGCTATCCTCTTCCGCCTCTCCTCTTCTATCCTATCCTCTTCCGCCTCACCTGCTATCCTCTTCCGCCTCACCTGCTATCCTCTTCCGCCATCACCTGCTATCCTCTTCCGCCTCACCTGCTATCCTCTTCCGCCTCACCTGCTATCCTCTTCCGCCACCTCTATCCTCTTCCTCACCTGCTATCCTCTTCCGCCTCACCTGCTATCCTCTTCCATCACCTCACCTGCTATCCTCTTCCTCACCTGCTATCCTCCTCTTCCGCCTCACCTGCTATCCTCTTCCGCCTCACCTGCTATCCTCTTCCGCCTCACCTGCTATCCTCTTCCGCCTCACCTGCTATCCTCTTCCGCCTCTACCTGCTATCCTCTTCCAGATCACCTGCTATCCTCTTCCGCCTCATGTGCTATCTCTTCCTCTTCCTCCTGCATTTGCTATCCTCTTCCGCCTCACCTGCTATCCTCTTCCCTGCCTCTTCCGCCTGCTATCCTCTTCCGCCTCACCTGCTATCCTCTTCCCTCCTCACCTGCTATCCTCTTCCGCCTCACCTGCTATCCTCTTCCGCCTCACCTGCTATCCTCTTCCGCCTCACCTGCTATCCTCTTCCGCCTCACCTGCTATCCTCTTCCCGTCTCACCTGCTATCCTCTTCCTTCCCTCTCACCTCTTCCTCTTCCGCTCTTCTATCCTCTTCACCTCACCTGCTATCCTCTTCCGCCTCACCTGCTATCCTCTTCCGCCTCACCTGCTATCCTCTTCCCCTCAAATGCTATCCTCTTCCTAGCCTCTCAAATGCTATATCCTCTTCCGCCTCACCTGCTATCCTCTTCCGCCTCACCTGCTATCCTCTTCTTTTCCTCTTCCGTCCTCACCTTTGCTATCCTCTTCCGCCTCACCTGCTATCCTCTTCCGCCTCATAAATCTATCCTCTTCCGCCTCACCTGCTATCCTCTTCCGCCTCACCTGCTATCCTCTTCCGCCTCACCTGCTATCCTCTTCCGACTCATCCTTCATTTTCTATCCTCTTCTCCTGCTATCCTTTCCACCTGCTATCCTCTTCCGCCTCACCTGCTATCCTCTTTTCCAAATCACCTGCTATCCTCTTCCGCCTCACCTGATATCCTCTTCCGCTTCACCTGCTATCCTCTTCCGCTACACCTGCTATCCTCTTCCGCCTCACCTGCTATCCTCTTCCGCCTCACCTGCTATCCTCTTCCGCCTCACCTGCTATCCTCTTCCACCTCTCCTGCTATCCTCTTCCACATCACATGCTATCCTCTTCCGCCTCTCAAGCTATCCTCTTCCGCCTCTCCTGCTATCCTCTTCCGCCTCTCCTGCTATCCTCTTCCACATCACATGCTATCCTCTTCCACCTCTCCTGCTATCCTCTTCCAAATAAACCTGCTATCCTCTTCCGTTCACCTGCTATCCTCTTCCGCCTCACCTGCTATCCTCTTCCGCCTCACCTGCTATCCTCTTCCACCTCACCTGCTATCCTCTTCCACCTCACCTGCTATCCTCTTCCGCCTCTCCTGCTATCCTCTTCCACATCACATGCTATCCTCTTCCACCTCTCCTGCTATCCTCTTCCACATCACATGCTATCCTCTTCCGCCTCTCATGCTATCCTCTTCCACCTCTCCTGCTATCCTCTTCCACATCACATGCTAATTCCTCTTTCTCTCACCTGCTATCCTCTTCCTCCTCACCTGCTCCTCCTCTTCCGCCTCACCTGCTATCCTTTCTTCTTCCCTCACTTGCTATACTCTTCCGCCTCACCTGCTATCCTCTTCCGCCTCACCTGCTATCCTCTTCTATCTCACTTGCTATCTTCTTCCGACTCCCCTGCTATCCTCTTCCGTCCAAATGCTATCCTCTTTCCTCCTCACCTTCTATCCTCTTCCGTCTCACCTGCTATCCTCTTCTGCCTCACCTGCTATCCTCTTCCGTATCACCTGCTATCCTCTTCCGCTTCACCTGCTATCCTCTTCCGCCTCACCTGCTATCCTCTTCCAGCCTCACCTGCTATCCTCTTCCACGCCTCACCTGCTATCCTCTTCCTTTCACCTGCTATCCTCTTCCGCTCTCATCCTTCTTCCCTGCTTCCTCTCCCTCACCTGCTATCCTCTTCCGCCTCACCTGCTATCCTCTTCCGCCTCACCTGCTATCCTCTTCCGCCTCACCTGCTATCCTCTTCCGCCTCTCCTGCTATCCTCTTCCGCCTCATCTGCTATCTTCTAACATCTCACCTGCTATCCTCTTCCGCCTCACCTGCTATCCTCTTCCGCCTCACCTGCTATCCTCTTCCACCTCACCTGCTATCCTCTTCCGCCTCACCTGCTATCCTCTTCCGCCTCTGCTGCTATCCTCTTCCACATCACATGCTATCCATCTTCCGCCTCTCCTGCTATCCTTCCGCCTCTCCCGCCTCATCCTGCCTCCTGCTATCCTCTTCCGCCTCACCTGCTTCATCCTCTTCCGCCTCACCTGCTATCCTCTTCCACCTCACCTGCTATCCTATTCCGCCTCACCTGCTATCCTCTTCCAAATGCCTCACCTGCTATCCTCTTCCGCCTCACCTGCTATCCTCTTCCGCCTCACCTGCTATCCTCTTCCATCCTCACCTGCTATCCTCTTCCAGCCTCACCTGCTATCCTCTTCCCTCACCTCTTTTCCAAATGCTATCCTCTTCCGCCTCACCTGCTATCCTCTTCCGCCTCATATGCTATCCTCTTCCCGCCTCACCTGCTATCCTCTTCCGCTTCACCTGCTATCCTCTTCCCGCCTCACCTGCTTCCTCTTCTCCTCATCTGCTATCCTCTTCTAGCTATCCTCTTCTCATATCTATCCTCTTCCAAATCACCTGCTATCCTCTTCCGCCTCACCTGCTATCCTCTTCCGCCTCACCTGCTATCCTCTTCCGCCTCACCTGCTATCCTCTTCCGCCTCACCTGCTATCCTCTTCCGCCTCACCTGCTATCCTCTTCCGCCTCACCTGCTATCCTCTTCCGCCTCACCTTCACCTCACCTGCTATCCTCTTCCCCTCACCTGCTATCCTCTTCCTTCACTCACCTGCTATCCTCTTCCGCCTCATTTGCTATCCTCTTCCGCCTCACCTGCTATCCTTCTCCCGCCTCACCTGCTATCCTCTTCCCAAATATCCTGCTTCCTCCTTCCTCAAATGCTATCCTCTTCCGCCTCACCTGCTATCCTCTTCCTTCTCACCTGCTATCCTCTTCCCCTCACCTGCTATCCTCTTCCGCCTCACCTTCTATCCTCTTCCGCCTCACCTGCTATCCTCTTCCTCTTCCGCCTCACCTATATCCTCTTCCGCCTCATTGCTATCCTCTTCCAAATCAATCTGTTTCCTCCTCTTCCGCCTCACCTGCTATCCTCTTCCGCCTCCTGCTATCCTCTTCCATCATTCATTTTCCTCCTATTCCTCTTTGCTCCCTATAAGTTCTGCTTATCCTCTTCCGCCTCACCTGCTATCCTTTTCCTAGCCTCACCTGCTATCCTCTTCCGCCTCACCTGCTATCCTCTTCCTTTACAGGAATCCTCTTCCGCCTCACCTGCTATCCTTTTCCACCTCACCTGCTATCCTCTTCCGTTCTCACCTGCTATCCTCTTCCGCCTCACCTGCTATCCCTCTTCCGCCTCACCTGCTATCCTGCTATCTGCTATCCTCTTCCTGCTATCCTCCGCTCACCTTTTCCTCTTCCCTCATCTGCTATCCTCTTCCGCCTCCCATGCTATCCTCTTCAGCCTCACCTGCTATCCTCTTCCGCCTCACCTGCTATCCTCTTCCGCCTCACCTGCTATCCTCTTCCACCTCACCTGCTATCCTCTTCCGCCTCACCTGCTATCCTCTTCCACCTCACCTGCTATCCTCTTCCGTCTCACCTGCTATCCTCTTCCACCTCACCTGCTATCCTCTTCCGCCTCACCTGCTATCCTCTTCCGCCTCACCTGCTATCCTCTTCCGCCTCACCTGCTATCCTCTTCCTCACCTTCCTCTTTCCGCCTCACCTGCTATCCTCTTCCGCCTCACCTGCTATCCTCTTCCGCCTCACATGCTATCCTCTTCCGCCTCAACTGCTATCCTCTTCCGCCTCACCTGCTATCCTCTTCCCCCCTGCTATCCTCTTCCGCCCACCTTCTATCCTCTTCCACATGCTTTCCTTATCCTCTTCCGCCTCACCTGCTATCCTCTTCCTTCCCTGCTATCCTCACCCTGCTATCCTCTTCCGCCTCACCTGCTATCCTCTTCCCTTCACCTGCATCTTCTTCCTCACCTGCCTCCTCTTCCTCCTCCTCTATCCTCTTCCGCCTCACCTGCTATCCTCTTCCGCCTCACCTGCTATCCTCTTCCGCCTCACCTGCTATCCTCTTCCGCCTCACCTGCTATCCTCTTCCGCCTCACCTGCTATCCTCTTCCCTCACCTCTATCCTTGCTATCCTCTTCCGCCTCACCTGCTATCCTCTTCCTCACCTGCTATCCTGCTATCCCTCTTCCGCCTCACCTGCTATCCTCTTCCGCCTCACCTGCTATCCTCTTCCGCCTCACCTGCTATCCTCTTCCGCCTCACCTGCTATCCTCTTCCGCCTCACCTGCTATCCTCTTCCGCCTCACCTGCTATCCTCTTCCGCCTCACCTGCTATCCTCTTCCGCCTCACCTGCTATCCTCTTCCGCCTCACCTGCTATCCTCTTCCGCCTCACCTGCTATCCTCTTCCGCCTCATCTGCTATCCTCTTCCCTCCTCACCTGCTATCCTCTTCCGCTCACCTGCTATCCTCTTCCTCCTCACCTGCTATCCTCTTCCGCCTCACCTGCTATCCTCTTCCGCCTCACCTGCTATCCTCTTCCGCCTCACCTGCTATCCTCTTCCGCCTCACCTGCTACCCTCTTCCTCCTCACCTGCTATCCTCTTCTCCCCCGCCTCATCCTGCTTTCCCTCACCTCTTCCTCCTCACCTGCCTGCTATCCTCTTCCGCCTCACCTGCTATCCTCTTCCGCCTCACCTGCTATCCTCTTCCGCCTCACCTGCTATCCTCTTCCTCCTCACCTGCTATCCTCTTCCTCCTCACCTGCTATCCTCTTCCGCCTCCTGCTATCCTCTTCCGCCTCCTCTTCCTCTGCCTCACCTGCTATCCTCTTCCGCCTCACCTGCTATCCTCTTCCGCCTCACCTGCTATCCTCTTCCGCCTCACCTCTATCCTCTTCCGCCTCACCTGCTATCCTCTTCCACCTGCCTCCTCTTCCGCCTCACCTGCTATCCTCTTCCGCCTCACCTGCTAACCTCTTTCGCCGCACCTCCTATCCGCTTCCGCCTCACCTGCTATCCTCTTCCACCTCACCTGCTATCCTCTCCCGCCTCACCTGTTATCCTCTTCCGCCTCCTGCTATCCTCTTCCGCCTCACCTGCTATCCTCTTCCGCCTCACCTGCTATCCTCTTCCGCCTCACCTGCTATCCTCTTCCGCCTCACCTGCTATCCCCGCCTCTTCCCTCTTCCGCCCTGCTATCCTCTTCCCCCTCACCTGCTATCCTCTTCCGCCTCACCTGCTATCCTCTTCCGCCTCACCTGCTACCTCTTCCTCCTCACGCTATCCTCTTCCCTCTCACCTGCTATCCTCTTCCGCCTCACCTGCTATCCTCTTCCGCCTCACCTGCTATCCTCTTCCGCCTCACCTGCTATCCTCTTCCGCCTCACCTGCTATCCTCTTCCCTTCCTCACCTGCTATCCTCTTCCACCCTCACCTGCTATCCTCTTCCGCCTCACCTGCTATCCTCTTCCGCCTCACCTGCCTCCTCTTCCTCCCTCTTCCTCTTCCACTCATCTGCTATCCTCTTCCGCCTCACCTGCAATCCTCTTCCGCCTCACCTGCTATCCTCTTCCGCCTCACCTGCTATCCTCTTCCGCCTCACCTGCTATCCTCTTCCGGCTCCCTCCTCCTCCCTGCTATCCTCTTCCGCCTCACCTGCTATCCTCTTCCGCCTCACCTGCTATCCTCTTCCTTCACCTGCTATCCTCTTCCATTCACTATATCCTCTTCCGCCTCACCTGCTATCCTCTTCCGCCTCACCTGCCTATCCTCCTTTCCGCCTCACCTGCTATCCTCTTCCGCCTCACCTCTTCTATCCTCTCTTCCGCCTCACCTGCTATCCTCTTCCGCCTCACCTGCTATCCTCTTCCGCCTCACCTGCTATCCTCTTCCGCCTCACCTGCTATCCTCTTCCGCCTCACCTGCTATCCTCTTCCGCCTCACCTGCTATCCTCTTTCGCCTCCCTGCTATCCTCTTCCGCCTCACCTGCTATCCTCTTCCGCCTCACCTGCTATCCTCTTCCGCCTCACCTGCTATCCTCTTCCGCCTCACCTGCTATCCTCTTCACCTGCTATCCTCTTCCGCCTCACCTGCTATCCTCTTCCTCCTCACCTGCTATCCTCTTCCGCCTCACCTGCTATCCTCTTCCTCCTCACCTGCTATCCTCTTCCTCCTCACCTGCTATCCTCTTCCGCCTCATCTGCTATCCCATTCCGCCTCACCTGCTATCCTCTTCCTCCTCACCTGCTATCCTCTTCCGCCTCACCTGCTATCCTCTTCCGCCTCACCTGCTATCCTCTTCCTCCTCACCTGCTATCCTCTTCCGCCTCACCTGCTCTCTCTTCGCCTCACCTGCTATCCTCTTCCGCCTCACCTGCTATCCTCTTCCGCCTCACCTGCTATCCTCTTCCGCCTCACCTGCTATCCTCTTCCGCCTCACCTGCTATCCTCGTCCGCCTCACCTGCTATCCTCTTCCGCCTCACCTGCTATCCTCTTCTTCCACCTGCTTTTCCTCACCTGCTATCCTCTTCCGCCTCACCTGCTATCCTCTTCCGCCTCACCTGCCTCCAGAATCACCTGCTATCCTCTTCCGCCTCACCTGCTATCCTCTTCCGCCTCACCTGCTATCCTCTTCTTCCTCACCTGCTATCCTCTTCCGCCTCACTGCCTCACCTCTTCCGCCTCACCTGCTATCCTCTTCCGCCTCACCTGCTATCCTCTTCCGCCACACCTGCTATCCTCTTCCGCCTCACCTGCTATCCTCTTCTTTACCTGCTATCCTCTTCCTCACCTCTATCCTCTTCCGCCTCACCTGCTATCCTCTTTTGCCTCACCTGCTATCCTCTTCCGCCTCACCTGCTATCCTCTTCCCACACCTGCATCTTCTATCCCTCTTCCGCCTCACCTGCTATCCTCTTCCGCCACCTGCTATCCTCTTCCCCTTCTTCCGCCTCACCTGCTATCCTCTTCCGCCTCACCTGCTATCCTCTTCCGCCTCACCTGCTATCCTCTTCCGTTTCTGCCTCCTCTTCCGCCTCACCTGCTATCCTCTTCCGCCTCACCTGCTATCCTCTTCCGCCTCACCTGCTATCTTCCGCCTCACCTGCTTCCTCTTCACCTCACCTGCTATCCTCTTCCGCCTCACCTGCTATCCTCTTCCGCCTCACCTGCTATCCTCTTCCGCCTCACCTGCTATCCTCTTCCGCCACACCTGCTATCCTCTTCCGCCTCACCTGCTATCCTCTTCCCTCTCACCTGCTATCCTCTTCCTCCCCTGCCTCACCTTATCCTGCTATCCTCTTCCACCTCACCTGCTATCCTATTCCGCCTCACCTGCTATCCTCTTCCACCTCACCTGCTATCCTCTTCCCTTCCCTCACCTGCTATCTTCTCCTCTTCCGCCTCACCTGCTATCCTCTTCGCCCTCACCTGCTATCCTCTTCTCCTCACCTGCTATCCCTTCCTCCCTCTTTTCGCCTCACCTGCTATCCTCTTCCACCTCACCTGCTATCCTCTTCACCTGCCCTCACCTGCTATCCTCTTCCACCTCACCTGCTATCCTCTTCCGCCTCACCTGCCTTCCTCTTCCGCCTCACCTGCTATCCTCTTCTTCCGCCTCACCTGCTATCCTCTTCCGCCACCTGCCTCCACACCACACCTGCTATCCTCTTCCGCCTCACTGCTATCCTCTTCCGCCTCACCTGCTATCCTCTTCAAACTTCTGCCAACTAGTGCAGCCTCACCCTGCTATCCTCTTATGCCTCATCTATTCCTCTTCCCTTGAGAGCTATCACGTGGTCCTGCAGCTGCATGGCTTCCTCTACGATCGCCCAGGTTTATCCCCTGGAGAGGTCACCTGCTATCACTCTCCCGGTAAAAATATAATCCTCTTCCGCATATACTCTAAGATGGAGATCACTGCCTCACCATTAGTCTCCCGCCCATATATCGACGCCATCCAACCTCATCTGGGATAATTTTCCGAATTTTATTCAGAGATAATTTTATAATTACAGGGTAAAGGTATCCTTTTTAGATATATAGTTTCCTAGTTCCGCCTCATGTATTGTTGGTCATTTTACTATAAATAGGTATTGTTTGTTGGTTGATTTTCCTTTAGTGACATATCAACACCTATATGGGTTATTTTATACCTTCATCTACATATAATTTGAACGCAATTGTTTGCCTTCAACCACAGATAAAATGTATTGTTGGTCATTTTGCTTTAAATATGTATTTAATTCCTTAACTGCTGCTGTTCCTAGTTCCTCCCTAGACCCAGGGTTTGGTAAATTGTTAGGGTCCCTCTACAGGCAAATAGTGACCTCCGTCAAACAAAAATCAACAATACATTTTTTTTTTAAAATTGTCTATAAGAATATACTTTTATAGTAAAATTACCAACAATATATTTTTTTCCTCTACAAATTAAAAAACATATCTTTCATCCTTCTAGCATAAAATTTGTACAAAATATTTAGATTTAGATTAAATAAGACATAGAGGTGTTGATCTTCTGTTCTAATAAAACAAGCAAAGCAAACTAAACCTTGTTCTGATATACATTGATTCAAGCTTACTTACCAGTTAGATTATGCATTATTTGGAGCCATAAAATTGTATGCAAAATATTTAGATTTCGGCATTAAATAACCCATAGAGGTGTTTGATGTACTGTTATAATAAAAAAGTGAAGTGAACCAAACTAAACCTTGTTCTGACATCCATTGATTCAAACTCACCATTTAGATTATGCATTATTTTTTTGTCTGTCCCTCTTGCCTTCAATCTGTCCTGTGAGTATCACATTTCCCAAGTCCTCTTTCCTCATCATATGCCCTAGAAATTTCAAAGAATCTCTTTCAGATGTTAAGTATAAGTTTGGCGGGTGTTTCCATTATCTCTAGAGATTCATGGTTTTTCACTTAAGAAAATCCGATATTCACAGGAGAGATAGAGATAAGAGAACAGAGAAAAGAACGCATAACATGAGCTTGAATAAATGGATGGCAGAACAGGGCTTAGGATCTATAACAGAAGAACATAGATCTATCTACACAGGAAGTATCTGGAGAATCATATCTATCTATCTATCCTGAAAGGACACGGCTACATATCTAAGAAAATTAGATTGATGGCAATGTCTCATCATCTATTATCAGTCAAAATGGCTGTAATCGGCTACCGTCTATTCGATGTTAAGAGTTTATTCTCTCTTACTTTTAAAATATGGAACTTTATTTTCCAAGAATTAATGATTCCCAGTCAACTTTTTGATCTTCAAAAATTTAAATGCAATGTCAATCGTTATATTTCCAGATTTATTAATTTTTTTTCTTTTCTTGTCCTTCTCCTTAATAGTAAATTTTCTCGATTCTCTAACATCGGTAAATATTTTTTCATTCTAGTGGACCCAAATGCCTTTCATCTTGAAAAAGTTTAAATGCAATGTCAATTGTTATCTTCTGTCGTCTTTAATTATTGTTCTTTTTTTTCCATCTCTTTAGCTACATAGTTTTTTTTTGCTCTAACAGTTGTAACACCTTGCATCCTAGTGGATTTATTGCCTTCGAATCTTCAAAATTTAAATGCAATGTCAATCGTTATATTCTGTCTTCTTAATTTTTGTTCTTTTTTCATCCTCTTCCTTTAATAATAATTTTTTTCCTGGGTATAATCTCTAGTACTCAGTAACACTTTCCGTCCTAGTGGGTTTTTATTGGCCATTTGATCTTCAAAAGTTTAAATTCAATGTCAATCGTTATCTTCTGTCTTAGCACCTGTTCTTTTATTGTCCTCTCAAATTTAATAGTAGTTTTTCAAAATATTCTATAAAATTCAGTAACCCCAGCTAAACAAAATCAACCAACCAACTAATTTAATTATATTAATATGATGGTAATAGGAAAAGCAAATACGACGTCTTGATCAAAAAAATATCGGGACCTGTGTTATAAAAAAACAAAACTACTATATATCAATTCATCTATTAATCTCCTTCTAAGTAGCCCCTTTCTGATCTATCACTTTATCCAGCGTTGTTTCCATTTTCAGGAAGCATTTATGGAAAACTATTTTGAGATAACGATCAGTTGCCTCGTCGCATTATCTTGTAATTCTTTTTATCTCGTAATCTTGTTCCATTCAATCTATCTTTGACTTTTGAAAGAGAAAAACGTCGCAAGGGGTCAGATATTATGAATATGGTTCTGTCTGTCTTGAACAAAAACTATCTAATCAATGATCACTGATGGAACCTTTTTGTCCCTACCGACCTATCTTCATCTGACACTCTACACATTTTCCTTCCAAGCATTAATTTTTAAACAACACTTATAAACGATCTAATTATCTTTTATATCATCTATCTATCTATATATATATTAAAAGTTTTTTGCTCGTTTAAACCTTTGAAATAACATTTATTTTATCTTAATCTAAACTATCAAATATCTATCTATCTTTCTCTGTTGATGGAAAATTGGCATAAATTACATCTGCATCCTGGGTAAGAATGGAAAAAAGATGACCAAAAGCCAAATAGACTATTAAAAACAGGAGATTTGAGAAATATAAAAAAGAATACTGAACTTAATTGCTCGTGTTCCCATGTCCACCTACATGGGTGAATGCACCTGTTATTTCCCAGATGAAATGAGACTAAGGTAACGAAAACTGGTTCAAAAGGATACTGAGAATCAGAAAGACAAAATTGGTTTCTTGAACATAATAATAAATAGGGCTTGAGAAAAAAATTGGAAGGTTGCAAAATGTGTCTACACCAATACATGCCCAAAAAATATGTGGTTGCTTCTTTTTGAAATAGAATTTTTATAAAAATATTTACAAATTCAACTATTGTCCTTTAAAAATGTACCCAATATTTATTTTTTAAATCTCGGCCATTGTCGTTGATATGCCTTCTTCAGGTGGTTGGAATGTCAAACTGAATCCTTTATTTCGCTCATTGTTTAGTTTTTTCGTTCATTTTAATTCTTTCTTTCTATCATCTATCTCCTATTATTCCCTTCTATCTATGTTCTCCACTGCCTTAAACAGGTATTGAACTCACACTCTTTTAGGTCCTGTTCAAATCTAACTATCTCTTTTATCCACTGTTCAATGTGTTCTTTCAATCATATGTTTGAATTTCTGGGTATTATAAACCCAATGTCTTCAGCCAACATTTTTTACTAGTGCTCTATTGCAATTTTTTTTGTTATCATATCATGTTTTTCCAGAGCTGTTTGCAATTTTGTTGTTACCGATTTTCTCTGGCATCCTTTCTATCTGGTTCCCATATTATCTATGATTTCTATGCTTGGTCGGCTCAGGAGAACCACAAGTCAGAAGGACCGAGGTTTTAGCCGAAACGTTGTTTACAAATTTGGTGACAAAGATGAGGATAATTGTCCGAAAAATGTAAATAGTGTACATAATTTCATCTTGAAATATAGGTAGATTTAATGTTTATCTTTTAAAATCAAGGATCAAGGTTATCTATCCCTTTATAGACGTTCATCTTCAGATATTTTGGCCAGCCATTTTTATCTATTCAGGTTGTTCATAATGATGGGAACAATTTAAAAAATATCTAATTATATAACTTTGAGGGATTCTAAATATATATATATATATATAATATATATATAAATAAATAAAAAAACAGAAATCGAGCGGCAAGTTTTCAAATATCATATCTGAGATATTTATTTCGTTTTAACGGATTTAATGTCAAACATCGGACAATAATGCCGATTAATAATGCCGTCATGTCCAACAGTAACTGCATAATTGGTTAATAAATTCTCCAGCCGAAGATCCATCTTGCAGCTCAAAGGAAATTCATCCATACAACATTTTTTACCAAATGGTCTGGCAAGAACCTTGAAAGGTGATCCAGCGTGTTGTCATCAGACCTACATGAGGCATACAATGTCAACCGCGTTTGAAATGAGAGAGCTCTCTCGCACACGTCCTCTTCGTGGTGCTGACCATCTCAGGAATGTAATATCCAAATCTTAGATAATATGTTGAACACATGTCTACCAGTTTATGTAATAAAAAATATTTGCTCATTTTTATAATCCAAGATACTTGCATTTAAAATGTGTTTTTCATTATGGGAGAACCTGTACCACTCTATCCTTTTCTTATCTATATATTTCGGTTTATCTATCTATCTATCTATCTATCTATCTATCTATCTATCTATCTAATATACCTATGTCAGTGTATTCATTATCTATCTATCTATCTATCTATCTATCTATCTATCATCAGTCTCTTCACAAACACGCACACACATACACGCAGTTATATATTATACTGGAATTACAGCTTATGATTAATAATATATATCTGAAATAAACGGGGTATATATATATATATATATATATATATATATATATATATATATATTAACCTAATCAAGGCGGTAATTTCAATAGCGCGCAGCAGGAGGGTTACAGGCAGTGAAAGTGAAAGTGAAAGTGAAAGTGAAAGAGAAGATTGAGAATAGGGAGGACTGAGGAAAGGACGTAAAATGAACAGACTTCAAGAAGATGGCGATGATATTACATTTAGATTTTGAAGATTGTAATTATCAGGGAAGCAAGGACCGGAAGCAGTTCCACAGGAGAGATGTTCGAGAAATTAAACGGTTAGAGTAGAAGTGGCAGTTGTCTTTAGACATTTCAAAAGTAAAACAATGGCTATCTATCTATCTATCTATCTATCTATCTATCTATCTATCTATCTATCCATCTATCACACTCTCTATATATAGTTGTAGTATAAACCACAGTTGGGTCCTGTGGGTGTTGAACAAACACAAATGCGACTGAGCTAGTGTCTGCAACAGGGATTGGTTAGCATCCCTTGTAGACGTTCATCTTCAGATACGAGTGGCCAGCAATTTTATAGATACATGGTCTTCCATAATGATGGGACACATTTAAATGCAAATATCTTGAATTATAAAATCTATCCTGTCCTGTGTCTTTATCTATCTAACTAGACTATCTATCGCCGCTCTGTGTAGACTTTAATGTCCATCTATATATATATATATCTATATATATATATCTATCATCTATCTATTAAATCTGACAAAATTCCATCAATTAATATCTATCTTTTATATCTATCTATGTATCTATCTCTATTCCTGTTGGAGACTATCTATATTTATCTATCTATCTATCTTCTCAGTCTGTTCATCTCAGTAAATCTATCATCTATACTGTTTATCTATCCAGATCATTTACTTAAATATTTGTATCTATCTATCCGTATAACAAAATCTATCTATATATCTATATATATATATATCTATGTGTGTCTGTTCATATCTATCTAGCGTTCTATCTATCTATCATCTATCTATTTATTTTAAATCTCTTCCCCAACCCTTTTTCTTACCTATCTGTTCGTATGTATGTATGTATGTTTTATTCAGCTATCCGTCTGTTCATTCGATATTCTCCTTTTCTTCTAGTCTCTAGACTTTGATAATATATTTAAGAAAGAGCCTTTTTGTTTAATAAAGCCAACATGAGAGCATTATCGTCAATTTTACTTATGAATAACATTGTCTTATACCAAACGATTTTTTTTTTATAGATTTTGCAGTTGAAATTCACTTCTAAAGGCATCTCTGAACTTGATGTCTATGTATGTTTTTATTCTCATAGCGACGTTTTATGTACCGCGTAAAAAAGGCGAACACCTATTGAGTGACAGACAAAATAAATTCTTTTTGTATTTCATTTGTTCGTCTTTCTTCAATTTTCTTTGGGTTGCGTGTGATGCTCTTAGTTAATGATTTGTCGACTTGCATACCAGTGTCACAGCCTGCTTCATTAGGTGAAAAGCAGATGATTTTCTGAGCTTTTCATGTGTCTATGAAATTCACATAAACAATTTTAACCAGACCATTCTTCACCGGAGAACTTGTGGGACTAACATTTTCAGTCATTATCAGTTATTTCTGTATAAGTATACCTGGTACGTTTAAGCAGATTTGTATCTCTGGTGTATACCACCTAATTTCTCTTTTTTATCTTGATAGCAATAATTGCCATTTCTTCTCTCTGGGTTCTTTTTGAGGACATAGCTATAAAACCCTCTTTTTTTTCATTATGTTTATTATGACAAATACGATACCATATTTCAGATTAGTTTTTTTTTTTTTAACTCACGTAACTGAATGTAATAGGTCCACTGAATTCGAACGGCTCTTCGATCCCGACAATCTGAACCAGAATTATTCAACCGTGGCTTAAATTCAGTCTTTGTCTGTCTGTCTCATTCTGTTCTTATCCTCTATCTATCTATCTATCTATCTATCTATCTTAACTCATTCTGTTCTCAAGGATCTATCTTTGCGGTCTCGTGGCAAAATATATAAGACGTCAGAACGACGATCCCAATAAACGTATGGTCTCATAAACTTTTAAATAGTGGTTTATCAACAAATGAACAAGTTAGCCGATTTAAAACAATAGGTTGAACAATGCAGTATTTACCTGATACCTCTTGGCGACTATGATGTGACATGATATTACGTTGTGTATGGTTTGCCTGTCTTAGCAACCCGGGCAAAATGACTTGTGTGTGTTCGTTGCGTCTGGCGGAGGCACTAACATCAATTTAGGAACTCGATGCTCTGATGCGAAGGCACTAATCTGGTCCTCCAATGGCAAGCTGTTTTCCGGGACCCTGTCACCTCTCCAGCATTTTCACTCCAGATATCGTCTCTGTCTAGGGACGATAAAAAAACAAGGTTGAACTCTCTTACGACGGCAGAAAACACTTCGCTCACTGGTTGACGATTACATTGACAATAGTGCCAGCTAAGTATATTAACGCTTAATCTATATACCGCCTCACATTGTTCTATGGTGGTTACAGTTGCATCACCTCTTGATATATTTACACCTTTTAATTAGGATATTCCACTATAAAAAAGTTGAGGTCCCTAAAGCGGAAACTAAAATCCACCCAAAAAGTGGGCATGCTTTTGCCAGGTCTGTCGAAAGGGTAACAGTATCAACAACTTGTACAAAGTCATATCGTCATATATTTTCTGTTTATTTACGACATTTAATAGATACAATTTATTTAATAAAAGACTGTTTTTTTAATAAACAGTACTAATTACATGTACTGGACTGGATGCTCGAGAGAAGCTGATTAAAAATATGCGTTCTTCGACAAAAATTTAAAGCCTTTCTATAAGGAATCCCTCAATTTTATAACGTGCTATACTACTAAGCTGAGGAAATAACTCTCCGGGGAAAAGTCAAATTTTTTTTTTTTTTAAATTCTCACCGAAGATCTTTCCCGATTTATTATTGTCATAATTTAAAAGGTAGTGGTTTATCTTAAAAACAAACATTTAATTGAAATAAGACTGTCAAATATAAAATAACTTCTAAATAGCAGGACAGACTGGGCTCTATATATTTGGTAGCAACCGGTCTAAGAGAAGGAAAACTCTGGATTCAAATGGGAAGATGGTATTTATCAATCCACCCACGGGGATCGAATGTGCACAAGGCCTTTTTTTTGGGGGTATCTCTGAGCCCGTAGGCCCAGCCAAAAATAAATAACCCATCCAAACCCGCCGAGGCGGGCCAGTTCCGTCAACCTCCCCAACGAAACGCTACCCTTCGGCGGAGCTTCGTCCGGGTTCCTCTCTGTAAGCAGAGAGTTCGACAACACCCGACCCGGCAGCTCACAAAGCGCAGATACTACACTTTGATCCTAGCCACCGGGCCGAGCGGGTATTCTTTTATGGGGAAGGACGGGCTCCGTCAGGCTATCTTGCATAAGAAAACACTACTTACTGTGGCTGCGGTGCACCTGGTGCCCCTACGACCATCATGGGGTCACAGGATTCGTGATCATGATTGTGACTATACTGCCATCTATTTACACAAGTTTGTTAGGTCGGTTACTCGCTGTTACCCACTGTCCCTTTGTTTTCAATTTCAGATTCTCCAAATTCTCTTTCCTCGTAATGATGCGCCCAAAACATTCTCTCCTACAGATTCCACCTTTTTCTCGCAGATGAAATGTTGCAAGCCTCTCGCTATTCTATCGCTACTTCTGTGGAGAATGTGTAGATAAACACCAATTCCTTAGTTACCCGTTTCCCTAACCTTCATGGTATAAGACCCGCGCTGCCACGCCCATTTTACGAACCACACTCATTTCCTTCACGCGATGTAAGTTCCACTCGAGCAGTTTCTTCATATGAACTGCTGCTCTATGGAACTGGCACCCAAGAGGATGCGTCCCTGATCGCAAATAATCTTAACCAGTTCAAGTCTAGGGTCTACCATTATCCTTCTCACATATGTTAATAAACTATGCCTCATAATCTGTAACCCTCTACTTCGAGTGACTCTTGAGCCCTGAACATTATTGTAAAAAAATTATCATTGTCCTTGTTGGTTCTTTTTTTTCCTTAAACCTTCCTCGTTGCTCACCTATTCTGTGCATAGTATTCTCCATATCCTTCTAGAGAACAATACGCTATTCTTCCTTTATGTGGCATGTCTCTACATGTAACGCCCAATCATGACTCTCCACAACTTCCTATCATTTGCATCTCTCGTTACCGTTTTGTTTTTACCCTCGTTTCAATTCCCGTTTTGCGATCCATTCTCCATAATCTCGTTTGGCAACCTGCTGTTTTCAGCTGATCCCTTTTAGACTGCAATATATCCTGTGAGTGTCAAATTCTCCAAGCACTATTTCCTCATTTTGTGTTCTAGAAGTTTCAACTGTCTCTTTCTGATTCTAAGTATAAATTTTGTATTCCTTAAAACTTAATCGTTGTTCACATATACAGCCCAGGATATTCTCAGCATCCTTCTGTAGCCCTATACCCTTTTGCGTCAAGTCTCTCCTTTACATCTGTGAGAATTTCGTCCAGCATTCATTGTCATAATAGAAGATTGATATCCCACACCAATTCAGCACTTTTTTTTTTCATTGTAATGAAGTTTTCCTGTTTCTTAATATTTTGCTTAGCTATTTAAAGGCATCTTTCGCTGTTCTAACGCGACTTCGGATTTCCGTGTCACATTTTTCCTTCATCTGGTCGAATGCTCTCCAGATTACTAACAGTTAGATATTAAAGTTTTTCCAGCTTCCTGTACAATCACCGAGCCTGGTCAGTACGTAGATTGAAAAACAAATGCTATATGCTTGGATGTGCGGGTGGTGCAATGAATAATAGCTTGGAATTGTTAATCGGAGAGCCGAGTTCCATTTCCCGTTGCGGTAGTTATATTCATTTACGCGCAAATAGCCTAGTATGTTTCTTCACCTCCAGATATGGGTTAATTAGTAAGACTTTTATCACTAAACTTTTTTTTATCTTCAAAAAGAAATCCATCTAAAAATATTTAATGGCTTTAAATAACCTGGGTTATAAGCTGTAGAAAACGAACCAATCAATAGATAAACTTTTTTTTTTAAAGAAGATAGAAAAAAAAGAGTCTGAATGAGAGAAAAATGGTGTTCGTTTTGACTTTCATCGTGTCTTTTTTTATCTCACGTGATCTCTCCTTCGAAAAGAAAGAGGAGTTTCCATTTGCGTAGAGTCATCCTTTGTAAATGTCGTCAGAGCTTCCAAAAAAAATTTTTGTTTGAATTGCAATTGAAAAACATGATTTACTGAATCTTACCATTCGAGGACGATCGACATTTTGTAATTTCTGAAGTTGACCACGTAAACGAAACCGCGGATAAGGAGGTACTGTATTATTTACATGTTCCATTTATTTTAAAATATACTAGAGTCTCTCACCTCTCTCTCTCTCTTTCTCTCTTTTCTCTCTATCTTTTCTCTCTACCTTTCTCTCTCTGCCAAATACAATCAAACATAATTTTTTATCTCTAGATATCACAAAAGTGAAGGTGGAAATCAGTACTATTTATTTGTGAAACCAATTCGATACATAAAATGAGACTGGCTAAGATAGATAGATAGATAGATAGATAGATAGATAGATAGATAGATAGATAGATAGATAGGGAGAGAGAGAGAGAGAGTGAGAGAGAGAAATTTGAGCAAACTGAGATAGATAGATAGATAGATAGATAGATAGATAGATAGATAGATGAAGAACATACTGAGATAGTTAAAGAATTAAGATAGATAGATAGATAGATAGATAGATAGATAGATAGATAGATAGATAGATAGATAAAGAACATACTGAGATAGTTAAAAAATTAAGATAGATCGATAGATAGATAATATACTGATAGATAAAGAACATAGATAGCCTAGCTAGCTAGCTAGCTAGCTAGATAGATAGATAGATAGATAGATAGATAGATGTAAACTGTTGCGCTTCTCTGACTGAAATCTTGAAATCTTTCTACTGAGAACCTAATTGCAAAAGAATACACCAAAAAACACTTTCAAGAAACGTGCTCACCGACTTGCCGCTTTCGATGGTACTTGGAGACTTCGGCGCCATTTCTTCCTTGAGAGTAATATCCGTTCGCAGAAACAAGATGGAGAAACGGCGTACTCACAATGACAGGCAAACCAACCTGAGTTCCTCTTTGCGATTCTTCTATTAACCTTCCAGAATATTTCATCATTTTATAAGAAATGCAATCATCGTGATTTCTTCAAGAATTCCATTTCCAAACATTTTCCTCAAAGAATGCATCCAGTGATTCTTCCTTTAACATACAGAGTGGCGGCTCATCGATTATATGATGACATTAATGTGTTTCTAACTATTATAGATATAATCTTGCCTTTGAATTAGTCCCTCATCTTTCACAAGTCTCTTTTCTTCATTTTCAATGCATAAAATACAAATTGCTGAAACTTATTAAAATCTAATTTTAAATAAGAAATGGAAGAAATATAATTTATAAAATGCATATCGCTGAACAATTACGAGAAATTGAATGACAAAATGGAAAATATTCTCTGTAACGCGTTTCGATCATCGCAATGACTTCCTCAGACTTAAATAATGTTCTTATTGATGGAATTATATATAAGCAGAAATCTAATAGAAACAATAAACTATAGGGTCATTATTTATTATTATATATCAAGAGAAATGATTTAAAATTTAAAGTTTAGCGTCCCTACATCTTCAACGTTCCTCCTTGTATAATTATAACCGATGCTATTGTTTATATTTTCGCCACCACCATTATATATATAATTCCATTAATAAGAATATATTTAGTCTGATGAAGTCCTTTTGAAGGTCGAAACCTGTTGCATACCTTTTTCCATTTTGTAATGCGGTTACTCATAAAAGATAAATGCAAAATTCGATTTTTAATCATAATTTTTCCTATCGCTG